ATAAAATAAAAAGTACCTGAGAATATTCTCCATCTTTAAACTGTAGTTCAAGATTTCCATTTAAGAGAATTCGATGGCAGAAGTTCATTGCACCTATGTGGCGGCGCAGAAATTCCTAACTGCAGCACTAGTAGAAACTAGCACTTCGACGCATCAACATGGAGATCGGCGTGAAGATAACGGAAGGAAATGGGTGGTTCGATAAGGATGCGGTGCCACGACAGCCGCTGGCATTGTTTTTTGCCTACGTTGCTGCACACAGCGCGCGGTTGCATCGGCCGCTCTGCGGATTGCACTTAGCGTTTTCGTCGAGTTTCTTCTCTCATACCAATAAAGCGACCTCCTCGCTTTCGATTCGTTCTTCTTTTCCTCACTTTCGCCCCCTTTATTCCCGCCGCTTTCTCGTCTCCGTCGTCATTGACCGGCAAGGATCCGCGCGGGTCCAATAAAAGCCCATACCCCCAACTTATTCCGCGGATTTCCGCGAGTTCGGGGGGAATTCAGGGGTGACGGAGGGCGAGGGGATAAATTTTCAAATGCGTTTCCACTGAAAGAGATGAGGGTGAGAAGAGCAAGAGAACGAGAGCGGGAAAGCGCGATGAAGAGGTAGCGGTTCTCGATTCATTGCGTTTCGAGAGCAACATCGGCAGAATTTAATATCCAGCAACGAAAGTTTAATTAGCCGGAAGTTGGAAAGTCGCGACTTGGCGGAATTCGCGCCGATAGTCAGACAGACAAACAGACAGGCGGACGCCAAAGCGAAGCGATATGCGTTTTACGTGGTGATGGTTGGTACAAGAGAGGTAAATCATGCAAGAAACGTCGTCGTTGTAAAATGTAATGAAGATTTTCCCAATGCCACTTTAACTCGGCCGGATTATATGCGGGAATTTGAAGAGAAAAATTTTAATTAAAACTTTTTAGAAAGATATTTCAGCAGTTTAAACGTAAAACAAGTTTAAAGGAATATGATATAGTCTTAACATTCTTGATCAAGTATCAAGATAAAAATATCTCTTTGAAAATGTATTTAATATCTTTAAGGTCCAAAACGTAATCTGCTTTAAATCAGTTTTAATACGATGATCGAGCGTGTTCAATCGAAATTTAGTCGACAATGTGATATTTGTGCGTTAAAGCGACAATTTATCTCAAATTTGTTGCAAAGCGAAAATGTGAAACATCAAATAAACTTCAATATTGCTTATATCGAATGTAATAAGCGGTGTGATTACAATTGAATTGTGAAATAATATATTTATATGTTCAAACAAAACGTATGTATTTAGATGTATATCTTATGATATTGTCGATGCGCATGTTATTTGATACCTATGTATGTACATTTCCTATATCTTTTTTTCTGTCGCAAACTGTAATAAACTTTTCTCCTTTTTCGCTAAAGCTCAAGCTCCAACACATTGACTCCTACGAAACTTATGTTCCGGGAAGCTGGTTGTCTGTTCGGGACGCGTGCTTATTTTGGCTCGCGAAATTTTTCGGAATATTCCGCGCAGAGTCGGATCGTAAATAAAAGGGAATCGCACAAGTTTCACGTAGCCGGCGGCGAGCTGTTCGGGACCGCAATGTGAATTGCGCCCGGAGATTTTGGCTGTGTCTCTGAAGTCTGGAGTGAGAGGAAAGCGTCGATCCGACGATGCTGCGCACACGAGTTTCCTTCTACTTTCTCTCTCTTTCTCTCTCTCTCTCTCTCTCTCTCTCTCTCTCTCTCTCTCTCTCTCTNCTCTTTCTCTCTCTCTCTCTCTCTCTCTCTCTCTCTCTCTCTCTCTCTCTCTTTCTCTCTCTCTCTCTCTCGTACAAAAAGACGCGCACGAGAGAACGGCACGAGAGATCGCTTCACCGGCAAAGATGCTAAACTCACCGGAAACTATTCGACCGTCGAACTAATTTAACGCTCGGTTTAACACGGGCCGCCCGACCTGTCCTCGACTTGTTCCACTGCGATGCGAATCATTGCCATAAAGGAGCCGCCGACTATCTCGATATGACTTCCTCGCTCTATCTCGCCACGAACTCTCAGACGGAAATCGAGCGCGAGTCTACCACCGTCAATAGTTAAGTGCCTTTTCCTTGCGTCTTCTTCCTTACAAAATTACACGTCTCGTCTGCTCAATGAGAAGTCGCCGTAAATTAGACTTTTTAGTGTTCTTCGGAATTCTGGCAACCCTCGTGATGTGTCCGGCGGAAAAAAAGCGCGCTGGTCGGTTTTTCGGTTTGGAGCTTTTCTCCGAACTGAAAGCCGCTGGAAAAAGTCCAGCGATCTTAATCAATGCATGTCTGAGTGCCAAGTTGGTTTTTTTTTCAAGCAAAACTTTCTTGTAAGTCACGCTAAATTAGATGTCACACGTTCTTTTTATCTGACTGCGTGATGTCAATTATCTTCTTAATCCGAGAATTGCATAAGAGTTCATGTTTTCCGATGTGTGTGTGTCACACACTGTATCGGGTGATAAAAAACCTTTAAATTTTCTTCTGGTACGTTTCCTTTTAAATCTCTTTTTGTAAAATAGACCTTGAGTTTTCCTCTCACAATCGATATTTCTTGCTAACACGCGAACAAATACGTTCTCGAATTACTCCGCGCGTGCAGATTCTTCTTTGGCGTAGCAAAAATCAATATTTCCGGGCTTTGGATCGTTTTGGCAAAAAAGTCACACGACGGAAGCTACCAAACGCTGTTGTAAAGTATCAAATGTTGACGCGCAAAACCCCGGGGATATTAAATTTCATCCATTTCAGCTAGCAAACAATCGTCTTGCAAACATTCTCGGGTGTCGTCGTGAACTAAATTTCTTCTGTGACAAAAAAGACGCTTGAAAGCTTAAAAATCGCAAAGTGTTATCGATATCGTGCCGCACGATCGACGCGCATTAAGCGGCGACGCTCCTATCGCGTGGTGGTGACTTTGGAAGCTTCGGTTCCAAATGGTTTACGATTCATACAACTACGCCCAACTTTTTTTAATGGATGTCACCATTCCACCTAAAAGGCCCGCGCTTTCCTAAAATGCAGCGACGAAGTGTTATAACTCCGACGTGTCGCTGGCACGCGGAAGGCAACGCGAGAGGATAGCGAGAGAGGGGGAAGAATTGTGAAAGGTCGCGAAAAATACGGAGGGGTGAAGAAGAGGGGCGGATAATGGCGAAGGTGATAGCAAAAAGAGACAAGAGGACGCTGAACCGCGAAAACAAGACACTGACTCGACAATGCGGCGCTGAGGATTTTTCATGGCGTCAATTTGTCACCAATTCATTAAGCGACGTTCTTTACACGATCATGAAAAAATCATCGTCTGTGAAAACTGTTAAAACTCATTACATATGTATGTATCATAAATTTTCTAAACAATTCGATCTTAATTTATAGTTATAAGACATATTTTTAATATTGCATGAAATTTTTCGCGTTTCCCGACATCCTTCATCTTTCCAGACGCGCAAAGGTTAATTTACCAGCGATTGACGTCGATAGGAGGCGAACAATATGCTCGTCCGACACTGGTTTTCGCCATCTTATCGGTTTCAGCGCGCGAGCGACCGATATATACAAGATGGTACACTCTCATCATTAGCCTTCCATTGTTCCGCAGTCTCATCCACGTTCGACCCATTTTATGCCTTATCAGTCAGCATCTACCGTGCTAACTCAAGTGCGCCGACGAAACTACCGAGTTCTCGTGACAAAATCGTCTGAGAGAAACTACCGAGTTCTCTGTGACAAGATCGTCAGCCGTCCTTTGTGTCACCTGAATTAAACGGTTTCTATAAAAGCGATATATACCGCAATGATCTCTGTTGAAAAAAGAATCAGTCAGTTTTATCGTAAATTAAAAATCGTATGCAATGTATTATTCCAAATATGTTAAGGAAAATAAAATTCTTTGTCAGAAACTTATTACAAACTAATTTTAAATTTAAAATCAATTACGTTACATGTATTGTGAAATACTACGAGAAGTTTCTTTGGTAAAATTATATTTAGATTATCACAACTATGTGTTTGACATAGCGAATGCAACTCGCTACTTCCCTTGTCCGTCCGAATGCCGAGCTTATTCTCGACGATGTCGGTACATTTGGCTCACGATTCGGCAGAAATATCGTCGGACGGACATTTCGGCCATTAGCATTTCGGACACTCATGATTTATTCATGAAGAAAGCATCACGACGGAGACCGGTTGCCGACCGAATAGAAACGCAACGCGAGAAACGCGCAACAATGCATCGTGATTCGTGCCGTGCAAAGATCACGCACGAGAGAATCTTGTATAAACGCTCGTGTTTAAGTGGATGTGCAAAACGCGAGTATATTCCACAGACGGTCATCACTGAGAAATGCTACGGATAAACGGCTGCTCACGTACGCAGATCGCAATTATGCTGCTGGAGAGTTCTGTCTCGAACGCGCGCGCGTAATATGAAATGTAATGAGAGTAAGAGATTAGCGGTAAAGGTCGCTGCGAGAAAATGTTTATGTGTGGATCGTGAGCGCCGCGCTCACCAGAGAGAGTGCAAATATTGGTTAAAAACAAATTTTTCTGATACTTTGTCCATTTCGATGAGTGCTTTTATTCATGAATTTTCAGAAATTTGAAACTCTTCGTTCATATCGTGTCTCTGAGAAATATTAAAAAAGTTCGCTTTAAAGAAAACAAAAACATCCTAAGATATTAAATTTTTAGAAAAATAATACAAACTATATTGTTGTAAAATATACGAAAATTTAAAACCGACTTTTACCGAAAATTACGTGTTTAAATTTTCATCCAACATTATTGTTAGATTATTATTTATGAAAATCTCAACGTATTAATTACCGCATTGTTCTTTATTCAGACTTCTCAGGTCTATTGTTACTTCCGAAGTTAAATTTTGCAGTGTTCTCGGAAATTTGCACAATACCAAGAGCACTTTTGCGGACTTCTACTCGCAAAGGTCCAGCTGACGGACACGCACGTGCATTTCTGTGAGAACTTACCGGTAACCACAAGCTTGGCGCGGTTAGAACTTTCCACGGTGTCGCCGGTGACGTGGTGCACGGTACGGCAGCGATAAGTCGAGTGAGCATCGGAGGAAGTCACCGAGAAGATGAGCAACTCTCCAGTGGGCAGCATATGGTACTTCCCGCCTGTGAAACAGGAAACAGCAAACGTGTAAGCAATATATCACTCAATCACTGAATACATGTGTTAAATACATTATGTAGAAAGATACGTGATTGCATTATATGCAAAAAGTCAAAAAATCGCGAAAGAGAAATTATTCTAGAATTTATCTCAACCTCTTTATTTCGCGAAAGAGCGCGAGGTGAAACTCTGCGAAATACTCAGTGACGTATTTTTCATCGACTCTCTCGACGAGTCTCGCTTTCGCACTCACCCTTGTGTTCGCGGCTGTCGTCTCCGTCGAGCTTCCATTAATATGGAAATTTCTTTAATGGAAAAGTGCGCGCGCAAAAGCGACCGGGAGCTGTAAAAATCGCGTCGCGAGAAACAATAGTAGCCGCGCGAGGAAATAATTCGCGCAACCAGAATTTTACTCTGCTTAAAAGAGCTGCCTTCACATTAAAGCGATTCCACGTAAAGCGAAACGATCAGCAACATTGGATCGCACTCGACGCGCCGGGATGCTCAAGCAAAAAGAAAAAATATATTGACACGCGAGTGAAGAATCGATACTTGTGAAAAAATTCGAACGTAACCGCCGGATGGCGAGAGCGTGCTCGCTAGCATACTCGGTGGCTTAAAACGATGGATGTGCTTGGCTAAAAAAAATTAGCGCTTTTCGAGCGAATTCCGCCGGTGATGGTTGTTGCACGCGTTCGTGCCTCTCGTTATGTCCGCGTGGATGAGACGTTGAGAAAAAAACCAATACAAAGAAATTTTAATAAAAGACATTAATATCTCTGTAAATTAACATCTGATTGTGTAAAAGTAGAGGAAAAAAATATGAACAAATCTTGTTGTTCATATATTTTAAATTACATACGATAATAATGATTTTGACACAAGATATATATATATATATATATATTTATACGCGTGTTTTTGCCACAAATAGTAAGAAATAGAAATATGTTACTGCATTAATGAATATTTAAATAAATGAATAACACCGCAAAACAAAATGCACACAATATGAAAATGTATCATTAATATTCCGTTCTCTTTTTGTCTCAAATCATTATACTTAATAGATATAATAAATAATTGTATATACACAATATGTACATGTATACGTACATATTGCTCAGTTATGGTTACGAAATTCACAAACCTTGCAGTAAAATTATCACTTTTTGCCTTTACTAATTTTACAAATTTTTTAAATTTAAAACCGGGATTTGCAATATTCGATTTTTGTGATAAAATTTGTATTTATATTTTAAAACGTGCGCTCACAGTTTTAAACACAAAGACTTTATACCACGAGCACAAAATTTCCACCTCGGAAAATTCTAAATCTCGATAAATATGTTTGTTATTGAATTTTGTAAAAGCACCACGATAACGAAATACATTCGCAATAACAATCTGTCAATACGCGGCGCTTAATTACGCGCGCGCACATATCTATACATAAAACATGAAATTAATCGAAATATCGCAAAATTTTGTTAATTACTCCTGACTTGCACTCGTACGTATTTACGAGCGACCAAAGAAATTGCACGGTACAACGCGTTGCGCGCGTGCATAGAAGTAAGAGAGGGATGCAATAATGAATTAATTTCCTGTCAGACGGTCAGACGGTCGATGGAACCACGTCGGAGAGTTGTATTCAGGTGCGCCCGATATTCACTGCTTGGCGTTGAATGTGCGCTAATCAAACCTCGTAGGAATTTAATAGGTTTTGAGCGAAATGCCGAAATGTTGGAAAGCGCCTCTGCGCACATTTTCAGGTATTTTTCGAAATAGCTCTTTCTCTCACATTACTATTATATTTTTTTCTTAATATTTTGTATTATGAGAATTAATAAAAGTAGGAATCACGTAATGCGCATATAAAAAAGTTTTAATTTTCTCAACAATGTGCGGAATGTAGAGAGGTATGATGTACAAAGTTTGCTTATATTTATAACACACAATTTTTTTATATAGATAAATAAAATTCATATTATACTCTCAAGTGTATATTTTTAACATTTTTCATATAATGTCTCTTTACTCTCTTGAATTAATTTGAAACATTATTGCAAAAAACAACAACTTAGCCAGAAAGCGAATTAAAACTTCTCGCATTATCACATCCGCCTTAAAGAAGAGAAAGGAGTAAAAAATGTTTTTTATATACGAGATGCGCAAACCAAGAATTCAATATAAATTTTTGAGATGCAAACATCCGTGTTTCAAATTAAAATAAATTCGAAAATTCTCTATGCAGATCTCGTTTTTAGCAGCATCTGGTCATTATACCCGTTAGAGGTGGTGTCTGCAATTTAGTGCAGAACGCAGCAACCACCATGCACCGGTGTTGCGCAATACACCTTTGCGGAAACCCGCAGATGGAAACGGTGGTAAATGAGAATCGCGTCCAATCATTTTTCCCCGCGTCGGAAAGAGTCGCCGCAGCCGCGATTACTTGTATTTTTTCCGCCAGCAAATTTTGCAGGCAAAATATATATCACTGACGAGACGGTGTTTTCCGCGCCCGTAAGCATTTTGGCCGAAGAGATGCGCGCGACTCCGTGGAAAATGCATCGCACGAAAATATCTCGCGCCCGCTCTCTCTCTCTCTCTTTCTTTTTTTTCTCTCCTCTTTCCGCGTCTCGCTCTCTTTTCCCCCGTTCGTCCTCGTGTCTACGATCAACGCGTGCAAACGAGCGCACTTTCCGCCACGCACCGATGCGAATTGCGCGGCGATGCGTTCGCAATTCGCGGTGTCAATATTTCGTTGTTCGCGCGTCGCTCCGCGCATCCTCAACCCGCGCCCGCGTGCACTTTATTCCCGAGGAAATTGCGCGGAATTCCAACCGTTGAAATGCGCAGGCTGTGCGATGCAGAGGAGAAAGGCGGAGTGCGAGCAGGAATGCACGTAAGTCTGGGTTACCTTAAGGTCGGCTCGCGCGCGGTGCATACCGGCGGCTCCCGACCGGCTGGATACGGACGATGAAAGCCATATTACCACCGCGGAAGAGAAGGAAAGGGGTAAAGAGAAATGGGATGAGCGAACGGTTAAAGGAGAGAAAGGGTTCACCCGGGAAGAGGGCGATGAATCGATCCTAATAAAAATAACTCGAACGCGGGAGATTCTTCGGCGTTTTGTCCGCTCATTGCGCGCCACCTCCGGAATGATCATGCGGCGAGGTCGTGCCATCGCGCGCGGAAAATAGTTAGCATACTTCAGCGGGGTTCGCTCGGGGATGTCAGAATTTATTTCGTGCCTGTTGATAATCGCCGGCTGTCGCTAATGATTAAATGCCGCCGGTAAAACGAAGAAAATGGGTGAGTTCATTCTATTTATATTTACTTTTTGTCGTAGTAAAACTTTAATAAAGATCTTTATTAAATCAAAATTACACAAGATTCTTAGAAAAAATATCTATTCTATAATCTCACTGTCAACAAAGATGATACAGAACATGTTACGTAAACAACATGTATGGTTCAAGTAATATCAATCAAATTAACATCAAAGGAAAACCAATCCATGTGCTAAAAGACAAAGCCCTGAAAAGAGAACCTTCTCTGTTGGTGAACTGAAATCCCTCCTGTTCGCCAAGAGTGGCTTTACTTCAGTTATGAGATTCATGTGCGAAAGTCCATTTTGCGCTAATAAGAGTAATGGACCACGAAAGAGAGAAGGAGAAAGAGATAGAGATTCACGAATCACGGATGCCGAAACGCTAACGGCCACGCCGTCGTCTATTTCGCTGATTTACCCGACATCACGCCAGAGCGAGTCCCACGAATATTTTTTGCACGCGCACGCGGAATAATATGGTCGAGTGAATGCGAGTGTGCCGACGCATAACGAATAGCTCAAAAGGATCGAAACGCAGCGAACGAAAAAAACAAAAAAGAGCTGTCGGCGATCTAATCAGCGACGCGAGAGCGCGAGATTTTCTCGACGATAAACGTGCGAGCAGATACAGCATGATGGAAATATGCGGTACCATGATAAAACTGAGGACGCGCGAATGCACGCCGCGAGCGATATTGTTCGTGGTTTTTAATTCCCGGATTACTGATGTGCACGCAAAACGAATCGATCGATTGTAGCAGCAAATTTGATAGTTTGCGCTTCGAGTAAATCGAGTCAGAATTATTTTTGCTTATTGAAATGGTAATTATGTTTTTTAAAACAAGAATTTTATCCGGGTTTGTTATGATTAATCCAAAGATAAGATTAATAACAAACAAATACAAAAAACCAATCGATGGAAGTATATGAGATAAAATAATAAGCAAAGAAATTTCGAAACGTTTTGATTATATTTTTAGCTTTCATTAATTATGTTAATTGGAAGCAACTTTTTGACAACATGAAAATTAGAGAAGAAGAGTGAAGATTCTAGTCCTAATAGAATTGAAATTATTGCTACCTTCTCATATCATTGTTATTTATTATTGTTTAATTATATATGTGTATTATATTAATTATTTTGATTTAATGAATGTATAAATGGCAATGAGAGAGAAAGAGACAGAGAGATTATAAAGATATTCAGTGCGTAATGACGCGTAACATTAAGCATATCGCTTTGCAGTTACATCTAATGATGTAATGCGTTTATTCCATATATCATGCGGAATTGGTAACCCTGTCGAGCGTTAATCAGCTTAAATGCAGGTTTAATCAACAAGTATATCAGAACATCCATTTGCGCTGTGCGCGTCCTAATATCCGCTAGAATAATACCGGTTAATGGCTAAATACATCTCCTGCTTTATACGTAATACTCTTCATAAATAAAGAGTATTTTCTCTCTTTTCTCTCTTTCTCTCGAAATCATCAGCGTCACAATTACTTTTTTATGCATTATGTCAAATAATTTGAACACTTTATGATAAATTTATAATAGCAAAGTGAAATTACATGTTACAGAAATGCGCACATTTAAAATTTTAAGTAATACTCACTTCTCGAAAATATCATTTTTTTGAATAGAATTACACGAAGATACGA